GTGGGCTTCACTCAAAATCCTATTAAAAGCCAGGCTCCGGAAAAGAAAAAAAATGTTGTAGAACTGGTTTTTCCAAGACACAAACAGGGTGTTCGACAAAAAACGAAAAACTCAAGAACGGTTAATGGGATACATAAACGTTTGAGTTTTTTGTCAAATCAGTTTGTACATATCAAAATTTGTTTTTCCTCCAGAGCCTGGATTTAAAGAATGTGACTGCATGTAAATAGTTCAGTAAGCAAATTGATAAATCATTTATAAATATTTTGTTAAATGTGAGAAAGAAATAAATTTCTCATTGGGAGTTTTCATGAGGGCAGCAGGCATAATAAAACTTTAAAAAAATATTTATATTAAAAACGATAATTATCATTGCACGGCAGATTCTCCAAATAAGGTATAAATGAATTCTTGAAGTTGTTATAAACAGGTAAATGATAACCAGCCTTATGGTAGCCAATTTTTCATTTATTCTGGTATAAAAATACATTTACAAAGAGCAGCTGTACAGCAGAAATTGTCACTACAAAATCAGTATTAATTCAATACGAAGATATTATACAAGAGATATCCTATTGTTTATACAAGATATATCCCATTGTTTATAAGTCTTAGCTAAGACCTCATTCAGTATAGCAAAATGAATCCATATTAGTACTATAGTGTTTTTAATAATGCACATAATATTAACAAAAGCTCATATAACATAGTTAATAAGCATGTTTTCTACCTTTCCGAAAGGCAGTATTGATACAGGTCCCCCTCCTATTAAAGACCACTTTTCGGACTGGTGTTTCCATGGGCTTAAGCACCTTTGGTCTCTAATTAGAATAATAATAAAGATAAAAGACATTTGTTAATATGGGACCGAAGAAAAGTGGTCTTTAATTGGAGGGTCTTTAATTAGAGGGAGGCCTGTAGTTTATAAATCAATTATGGCATTCTCAGAGCAGACTAAACAAATGTAAAAGCCTGCTAACCAATTCAACCATAGTTTGGACCATCCCAATTATAGTGGCATTGATTGTAGACTGCCGATAGCAATACGCCCTAGTTTTAGTTAAGCAGTTCTTAATTATTCTGTAAGGCAGGAAAATGCCACCGTGCTATGTACTGTACAGTACAACATCCCATCCTTGATAAGCTTTTCTTTTTCCATGCTCTCAAACATCCATGTTGTTATTGAGTCCGTCAGAGGCTCTGGCTGGAATACTGGTTTAATGTCGTTGTTGAATCTGTCGCAGATCTAAATATAATGCATAAGATACCTTGCCAATAAGATACCTTGCCAATAATTAAGTGCTACCAAGGTGGTATTTATTATTTATTTTATACCTCCTTGGTGTTACATAGCATATGAGTAAAATACTCGCTTTTTAATTTGAGAATCTGGTGTTCATATCCTCCAAATGTCTGCATTCTTATAAAGCACCATCCAAACCTTTCTCACAATGCTATTCTCATGACTAAAAACTCCTCTCACAATAAGATTCATGATACTTATATAGAAAATCATAGAATTTGCAACTACTGTACTGTACTGAGTAAATATTGCCCTTCTGTAGTTTCAATGCTCATATTTCAAATCACAGTTCTGGAGAGGAGTGGAGAGCTTGCCTTCTAATCCCAGGGTCCTGGGTTCAATTCCCGTCACAGCAGGACTTTTTCTCGCAAATTAAATCAACTCCACTCCCTAAGCCTCATAAAGAGACTTGGTTTATAAAGCATCATTCTCATCCTGTAAGTGGCGAGTGTACTTGCTGTTGGATGTGAAGGAAAAAAAAAAAAAAGAAAGATTGGTGATATTGTTAAATTTCTTATTTTGTATTTTTAAATATTATTTTTGAAATTGAAAGGCAAGATATCTTATTGGCAAGGTATTCTTAATGTATTTTATATATTTTTATGTATTGTTTTTCTTTCGAGGGCCTCTTCAAGTCAGCTGTACTACTGTAGTGCAGCTGTTAGAGCTACCCTCGTGAAATAAATAAATAAAAAATGGACCTTTCCGCTAAGCCCCGCCCCTTGGATACTGTTGCTAAGGTCCCATAAAAGGACAGTTTAAAAACATACGCAAACACGGGCGTTTGTGGTACAACACGTGTGTTTGTGAGACATGATTATTCCAGGCCTTGGTCAGTTAAGTTTAATTGACACTCTGAAAAGGTCCATTAGAATTTTTTTCTTCTAATCAATGAACAGTACTAACCTTTGCATAGAACGGTAAAATTGCTGGTAATAAATTTCAGGATTTTTTTTAGTAAAATGCTTGTAAATGACTAAAAACTAAATAATTTTGATGTGTTTTTCACTGGAAGTTAATAACTTTAGCCTTTTAGATGAGCCTTTCAGATGAGCACTTAATTTTTTTTATTTATTCCCCCAGATATTTATCATGCTTAAAATTGCAGATGATGGTTTAAACCATTGGTTTTGATGTTTGTTTATAAGACATAACCTTTGACATACAGTAATCATGCATAGTTAAACTATGAGTACTGTATGGGAGAGCTTACCTTATCTATGTTAGATGAGAATGTAAAATGAGAT